GGGTTGATCCATGAACCATTAATAAATATATTTTGTCAAAAAATCTCATATCAGAAATTACAAAACCTCAAACAGAGTCGGTTGTTACTAAAAGCCTGAAAAACATGGGTTTTAGGCATCCTTCCCTACTTGGATATTATAATATTCATGTAACTTTTTTTTTGAATTTGAATAGATTTACGTTTAAAATATATAAATTTTCACATTTATTTAAATACTTTTGTGTTCTTAAAACTTCAATAATCTTTATATAAAATTTANTTGTTTTGGCTTCATTTTAATATGATTCATTTTAACTCGATTATTATATTTTTNAATATNTAAAATATAATACGACAATATATATATTTAGCTTAATATGATTCATTTTAACTCGATGTTTTATTTTTTGTTTAAAACATTGATATAAAGTTAAGTAATTTATTTTTCCACTTTTTCTTTGATTTTCTTACGTTTTATACAGGGTAGTTAATCTTATCGAAGCATGTTTGAGTTAATCGGTTCTACAAGTATAAAATATATTTTTCAATTAGATTTAGCCACATTTCAAAAGATTTATCTATTTAAAATAATATCCTGATTTGGTAAATAGTAAAATGTAATCTTACTTTAAATATGATTAGAAATATTTAACTATTTAAATATACGCGATATAATTTATTTGAATAAATAAAAATTTATTTATTTGTATTTATCAATTAGATATTTTAATTCTAAATAGAAATAGATAAAACAATAAATTAAATATCTTTTTCTACAGGGATATTATGATATTCATGTAACTTTTTTTTGGAGTTTGAATTGATTTAAATTTAAATATCCAAATTTTCACATTTATTTATATACTTTTCTGCTCTTAAAACTACAATAATATTTTTCATAAAACTTATTTGTTATGGTTTTTAATCAGAAAAGATCGATTATTATATTTTTTGATATGTAAAATAGAATACGATAGTATATATTGTTTTTCTAAACTTAATATGATTCATTATAACTCGACTTGTAATTTGTTGTTGACAACATTGATATGAGGTGTAGTAATTTATTTTTCAACTTTTTGCTTGGTTTTTTTACTTTTAATAATTATTAAAATAGTAAAATTAATTGATTTTGCAAATTCGGATTTTTATACACGGTTATTAAACTTATCGAGACATATTTGAGTTAATCGGTTAGATTTATATAAGTACCAAATATATTTTTTTAATTAGATTTATCCACATTTCAAAAGATTTATCTATTTAAAATAATATCTTGATTTGGTAAATAGTAAAATGTAATCCTACTTTAAATAATATTAGAAATATTTAATTATTTAAATATATGTGATGTCATTTAGTTGAATAAATAAAAACTTATTTATTTGTATTTATCAATTAGATATTTTAATTTTAAAGAGAAATAGATAAAACAATAAATCAAATATTTTTTTCTACTGAGATATTATAATATTCATGTAACTTTTTTTTGAGTTTGAATAGATTTAATTTTAAATAACCAAATTTTCTCATTTATTTACATACTTTTGTGCTCTTAAAAATTCAATAATATTTTTTATAAAACTTATTTATTTTGGTTTTTAATCAGAAAAGATCTATTATTATATTTTTCGATATGTGCAATAGAATACGAAAAATATATTATTTTTCTGAGCTTAATATGATTTATTTTAGTTCAATTTTTTATTTGTTGTTGAAACCATTGATATGAGCTGTAGTAATTTATTTCCACTTTTTTTTTGGTTTTATTTACGTTTAATAATTATTAAAATAGTAAAATAATTTATTTTGCAAATTCAGATTTTTATACAAGGTAATTAATGTTATCGAGCCATGTTTGAGTTAATCGATTAGATTTATACAAGTATAAATATATATTTTTGATTAGATTTTGCTACATTTCAAAAGATTTATCTATTTAAAATAATATCTTGATTTGGTATATAGTAAAATATAATCCTAAATAGGATAAAAAATATTTAACTATTTAAATATATGTGATATAATTTAGTTG